GGTAGGTGGGCCAAATCCGCCATTGAGAGACTACAGAAACAGATACTGAGGAGAAGCAGGAAGTCCCTTGGAAGAACCTAAGTACAGCTGTCAAAGGAAAACTAATCAGTTTGTGGGGAAAAAAAATAAGAAGCCTGGAGGCCCCCACACAGGGTTTGACAAAGTCCATTTAAACCAACTGGAACAAGGAAATTTTCAATGATGTGAAAACCTGAAGCAGTTATTTACACTAATGCAACAGGCTTTGGTAAACAAAGTACTGATGTCTGAGTCAACAGCCTACCCTGCTCACATGAATCACCAGGGTTGGGATTCCAGTGGCAACCGTTTGCAAGCACATGAATGACGCATAGGCCTTGCTACTCCAAGTGTGGTCCCTGGACCAGCAGCATCAGCACCACTTGGGAACTTGTTATGCAGGTTCTTGGGTCCTAAACCAGACCTAAGTTAAAAAGATCCTGGGTTAAATGCAATGAGATTTTGCATTTTTACAAGAAGATCCTCAATTGATCTGTGTACACATTAAAGTTTGACAAGTACCTGAAATTTAACCCTCTGAATGTATTCATCTGCTTAGCAATCTTTTTTGTAAATAAAACAATGGCAGCCTTCCTTCGGAGTTAGAGTCTCTGGAATTTGTCCCACTGGGGACCTTTCTGGTTTTCTTTTTCTTTGGGCTGTAGTTAATAATACAGAATGTTTTTCAAGTAAATCAGTGGTTCCAGGTGGTTCTTGGATGAGAGCCCTGCAACAAGGCTATAAAAAGCCAGATATTTCTCTTATAAGTTTCCAACTTAAGTATTCCCTGAGGCAAATAGCTTCGGCTTAAGGGAGGAAAACAATTTTATGTAAAATAGATGAGTATCTGTGTAACTATCCCACTACCTCCAAGTCCCATGTATATCAAAACAAGGGGGCAAACTGCCAAAATCAACTTTTAGAATATTACACCCTAACACATGAAAAGGGGACTTTCACACCAAAACTGAGAAAAACAAATTAATCCACATACCTTTCATATTACTTAAAATTCTTTCTACTGCCAAAAAAAAAAATGAAAAACAAAAAACCCTGTTATGCCTTAGTTGTTTTTATATCCTTCCCAAAGCTTATAATGTTACCACTGTGATTATCTGATAAATTCTCAATCCATTTACTCTAAGCAAAGAGTGAAAGAAAACACACAATGGGAATATTGAGCATCCTGAAATAAGACATTAATTCTCCAGTGGAATTATTTGCAAGAAGGGGACCTGCAGGTTCAAATACAGTCTCAAACTTGGCAGAAAATTCCCCAAAGTATCCCCAAAAAAAAAAAAAAAAAAAATCCAGGTAAATATACTTAGATTTAAGGTATTCCAAGGCAAACTTCAGCAAATATATAGTTATGTGTTACCTACTGTAGAGGCCAAGGGCTAACTGCCCCAAGATGGGCCACATTGGCAAGATTATTTTGAGTCAAAAGCAAACAAAACCCAGTAGATTCAGGAAAAGTTCCCTACCTCCCCCTTTAGCTGCCTACATTTACTTTGGAAAGGATCTCACCTGCGCCTGAGGAAGAGAACTATTAACAGAAGATTCCTCTGTACCTAAGTAATCTATGTGCATAGCAGGGCCAGCTTTGTTTTCCAAACATCTCCTCTCACCTTCCTGCAAATGGTCCTCCTCCCCTTTGTGTCCTCACAACCCTCCCCTTCTCCTGAGCTCAGGAGCTCATGTAAGGTTCATGGGGCCAGTCTTTTAAAATTTCAGGTCTTTGTGGATTCTCCATATGCACAAAGCTAAATTTGGTTTTGTCCTGCTGATCTGTCTCATACCAATTTGATTCTTTATCCAGCTAAAAAGACCTTGAGGGAGCCTGGGTGGTTCAGTCAGTTAATAGTCAGACTCTTGATTTTGGCTCAGGTCATGATCTCAGGGTCATGAGATCAAGCCCTGCATCGGGCTCCCTGCTCAGTGTGGAGTCTGCTTGAGATTCTCTCCTTCTCCCTCTGCCCCTTCCCCTGCTCATGTGCACACACGCTCTCTCTGAAATAAATCTTTTAAAAAAAAAAAAAAGGACCTTGAAGGGCATAGGAAATTCTTCCTCCCCAACAGTATTAACACATAATACCAAAGTTCATACTATGTAGCAGCACATAATACCAACCATTTGAATTATCGTGATGTAACAGACTTTACGTGTTTGCCTTTAAAATCAGTGTTTGTTGAGCACCTGCATCCAAGCTGCTCATATATTTTTTTTCATATATTATCTGAATGACTACAATGGATCGTTATTAGTGAAATATACCTAAAATATACCTCTTGGGCATACTGATTATTTGGGACTATTTTTGAGAAGCTACAGACATAGGGGACCCTCTCAAAACAGAGTTGAAGTTAGCCTTTTGTGAGAGAAATTAACATTTAGGAGGGAAATCTCCATTGTAAGGGTATCTTCCTCCCTGTATCAGGAAAAGGAGGATAACTCTCAACTCTAGAAATTGTGATCAATGGAGAAGAGCATGGACTTAAATCTGCATAATAACCTTACCTTTTGTCTACTGTGCTTTTCCTGGTAACCTCCAGGAAATAGTGGTCTGCCCACCCCTGTGCCCACATCTTCTCATCTTCTTTTTCTTTAGCTGGGGATGGTAATTAAGGTGGTAGCCTGGGCCATTTCTGGGAGTTCCTCAGTTTTCCTGGGTCTCTCCCTTGTATACAGGAGGTATGTGCCTTATTAAACTTGTTTGTTTTTCTCTCACTAATCTTTATCACTGTGGGATCTCAAGAACCTAGAAGGGTAGAGGGAAATTATTTTTCCTCCCTTACATTAGTTAATTGTGCCTAGATATTTTGCTTCATGACATCTGTAAACCATAATTCATCACAAAGAAAATACACACCAAAAAATCCCCACCATGGCTAAATTCAAATTTCTAATTCAAAATACACCCTTTCCTCCAATGCAGGTGAAACAAATGAAGAAGAACACACTGAGAAGGTGAGGAGTCTTTCAATTCATGACCTCCAACCTCATCTACACCATTACTGCCTCCAGGTAACCATGTTTCCTCAGTTTACTCACTCTCCCACTCCCCTGGACAACTGTTTCACACCTTCTCCTCTCTCTTCCAACCTTGAACCCCAACCTCTGTCCTCAAGCCAAGACTCATACCCTACTGCCTCCTTGACATCTTCAACTGGAAGTCTGATAACCTCTCAAGTTCAACATGGTCACAACTAACTTCCTGATCTCTCCCAATTCCAAATCTAATTTCCCACAGAGTTCTTCTTCTCAGTTAACAGCAACTTCATGCTTCCACTGAAATAAGATTCAAAGCTCTCACTCTCAGATTCCTCACTGAATCTGTCAGCAAAATATGTTGGTTCTACTTCAGAATCCAACCCCTTTTCACAACTTCCCCTGCTACCACCTGGTCCAAGCCACCATCATCTCTCACCTGGTCCCTCCAATGGTCTTTTTAAGTAGGCTCCACATCCAAGCGTGGAGTCCAACACAGGGCTTGAACTCACAACCCTGAGATCAAGACCTGAGCTGAGATCAAGAGTTGGACACTTAACTGACTGAGCCCCCCAGGCACCTCTTTCTTTCAATAGTCTTCTAATTAGTCTCCCTGATTCTGTCCTTGATTCCCTCCAGTCTCTTCTCAACCCAGCAGCAGGGTGATCCTTTCAACATAAGTCAGGTCACATCAGGCCTTCACTCAAAAGCCTACATTAGCTCCCCACTGCACTCAGGATTAAAAGTCCACAATGGCCCATAAGGCCTTACAAAATGCCATCATCCCTATTACTGCTCTGACTGCAGCACCTACTTCTTACCCTCACTCCGCTCCAGCCACATGGACCTCCCTTTTATTACTTGAGTGCTCCAGGACCATCCCAGCCATAGTACTTTTTGCACTAGCTATTCCTTCGGCCTGGAACACTCTTCCCCCAGATAGCTGTCATGTCTTAATTCTCTCACATCCTTCAAATCTTTGCCAAATGTCATCCTCACAGCGAGGCTTTCCTTCACCACCCTATTTAATCCTATAACCCGCCCCACACACCCTCACCTTACAGCGCTCCCAATTCCTTTCTACCCTAATCTCCTTTTTCTTTTCTCCAGGGTCCTTACCATCTTCCAACATACTTGTATGTCCCCCCACCCGTTAGAATGTCAAGTCATCAAGGTCAGGGATCTTTTTTCTGTTCTCTGCTGTGTCCCAAGTGCCTAGAACAGTGCCTGGCATGTAAGAGGTGTTCAACAAGTATTTGTTGAGTAAATGAAGAAACTAAACCTCATGTTTTATTAGCAGATGGATCTGGCTGGGCCATTAATGCCATTACAGCAACTACAGATTACTACAGATCATAGGTACAGGAAAGCTCATTACGCTGCTCATTCCATTTTTGTATATGCTTAGGAATTTCCAAAATAAAAGGATTTTTTAGGTTAACAACAAAAAACAGACACACAGTACTGTCTCAGAAATAAATGTCACACTTCTGAAGTTTCCAGAAAACAGCATAAGTAGGAAAAAACCCTGCATTTCTATTTCTAAACCATTTAATAGTTGTTAAATATATTACAAATCTCTTCGTCTCTGGGTCTCCAGCTTCCGCATCTCTAAAACAAAGAGGACCGACTAAAAGACCTCTACCTTTTGTAATTACAACATTCTAATACCTAATCATAAAATTATCTAGGCCCTCTTTGTTCCTAAGCGTCGACTTTACACATTTAACTTCTACAGGAGAAATTCAGACTCTGGTTGACATGATTTCATGCTTCTTTTCTCACTTCTAACTGGTCTTAATTTTCATGACTATATTCTAGGTTTGAGTTTGTAGTTAATATTGTACTGCAGGAATTCCTCTCTGAAGCCGAACAATTATCTATCTAGATTCATCGCTTCCAGAGCTGGAGGGCTGCTATGGGCCTGCTGGCCACGGCCACGTCAGACCTGGCAGACTGCCATGGTTCTTACCAGCTGGGAAGCAGCACTTACCATCTCCTTCTTGTCTTCCTGGAAGTGTACATCCACAAACATTTTCCCAACAACATAAGGGAGGGCGCTTTCGATAAAGTTTACACATTTGTCCCATTGAGGCAACAAAGTTGTAGTCCCCTGAATTACCTGTGGGAGATAATTGATCTAGATTGAGGTTCACTTGGATAAAACCTATGGCTGAAAAAAAATTCACACAACCTGAAGAAAACAGGCTACAAAACATTGCACCCCCCAACCCATATACATGTGTCCAATGGTAGAGCTGACAGTGAAATTAGATGAAAAAATAAATTCTGCTCGTTCCTAGTTAGACTTAAAACTGAATGAAAATATTTTAACAGTAAAATAATGTATTTATCCTTTCCTTTCAATTTTCCCCATTTAATGAAAGATTAGGACAATGGCACAGCTTTTCTACAGTTAGCAGGGAAATGAGTGGATGCTGTCCCGTCCAAGTGTCTAGATAGCCTTTAATATCTATTGGGAACTGAAGTTATACTAGGAAAAGTCTAGTATCAGCGGATGATCAAAGTTCCTGCCCAGCGAGGGTTTCCTTACTCTGGGTAGTACACTCACAAGTCCAAAGACAACATGGCCCACTGGAAACAACCCAAGAAGCATATTTACATCATATCGTAGCAAAGGACACACCCATAACCAAGTAAAAAACAGAAGAAAATGTTTTTCCCATCTGTCCCAATTAAGCCATTACAAGAAAACATTTACAAACAAGTAAGGACTTGGAAGGCTCAAAGGTTTACTCTTGGTGATGAAAGCAAAGAAACAAATAGTGTTTAAAATGCCCTTGGAGGATGGAAGTTCAGCGCTCAAAATGCAAACCGAAGGCAAATAGCAAGGCAGGGTGGCCCTGAGCATGGTGGAGGAGCCGCTTGAACCACGGGAGACCCAGGCTCCTGGCACAGTGCACATGCGCTTGATGCTTAGATTCATCTCTTTTTCCTTCCCCTGCTTTCTGGCAACACAACCCCTCGCAGACGGAAGGAATCAATGTATTTTTTAAATCTCTAGAGAAAGGGATCCTACAACTGTCTTTGGCAACTCGATGTTATATTTAGCACTTTACACTCAAGAAACATCCCCTCATACCTAACCCTCCAATTTTCACACGCTACTTCTTACACCAGTCTCTCTTATTCTCTTCACAGTAGGATTGAAAAGCAGCTGGGTACTATCTTTTATGTGATCCACAGGAGTTAAAAATATACACACATACATATAAATATAAATATATATATAACATGCATATATACATATGCACATATATATATATTTTATTTATATGTAAAAAATCTACTTGTTTTGTAACTTAATCCTTCGATATGACCTCAATAAATATAGCTGTTTTATAGTGTTCTCTATAAAACTCAATAATCTAGTGACTTTGAGAGCCAAAATGTATCCAAAATAACTGTGTTACTGCTCACCAGTAATGACCCACCAAAAATTCCCATACTCACCTGTTTCTCTGGTAACCGAAACATCTGTTAAATGAAAGCACTGTTATAAAAAGTGTCATTCACTTCTAATTGAGAGAAAAATAAATTTAAAATACCTTTTAAAAGTCACAAAATATTTAAAATGCAAAAAAAACACCAAACAGAAAATCACTAGGTCCTTATTAATGGGAAAATTATTCAGATAAAAGCTTGTGAAACAAAGGCAAAATAACACCTGTGTAAGTGAGGGAGTGAAGCTAAAATCAAAGAACCAGGTGAGGGGGAAAGAAGCAAAGTGTTTCAGGCAGTTGAGCCAGGTTCCCCGGAGGAGACTAAGTTTAGGCCTCTTTGGCCTAGCAAAATTGGAATAAACTCAAAGACTGAATGAAAGTCAAGATAAAGACAAAATTCTATCCCTAAATTAAAGATGAAACTTTACCATCTAAAACGTATACTAGGCATATTTTGAATATTCTGAATACTGAAAATGAAAAATAGTTACAAATATATCACTAAGATACATTAAAACTGTAATTACAGTGACCCAGTTAAGAACACTGGGGAAAACGGGAATAAGTTGATAAGTAGGGAGTGAAAACAATATGACAGTCCCAAATACTGCCCCAAATATCTTTATATGGCCTCATCAAATACAGCTTGAGTGTAGTTTACAGTACATAAGGTTTCACTTAATAAAAATAAATTTTTTTAAAAAGTAGAGTTTGGGCTGCAAAACTCCCTCTGTCCCATCCCTAAAGATGATTTTTATTGGATTAGTTAATAAACAGACTGTTCCGGCATGTAAAGTTATCCAGTGATGTAACACTGCAATCTTCTTCAAACTTACCCGTGAGAATTCGAGCCACCTATACTGAAAACGCCTGCTAAGGTTTGGAATTCTGGAATAAACCATCCTCCACACCAAATAGTTGGCAATGGTCCTGTTAGCAGAGAGAAATGCACATTTATTACAATTAGGTTGATACCTGATACTCTGCAGAACACCTTGGGGAAAACTGCTGGCTAAGCTCCATGGAGGGACCTCTTGCTTATACAAAACTGTAGAACTTGCACTTGAGAAATGACATAAGATGACACAATGCCAATAAGCTCAACCAAAGCCGGCTTGCTTTTCACCACTTAATACAGATAGATGAAATGAAGATTCTAGCCCGAGGCCTCAGCGTCAGCATTTTGCTTTCCCTCTTAGGGCATGGAATCCACTGTTGCCTAGCGCTTTCTGTCTAGAAACTGTCCATACCCTGGAATTATTAGGTGACTTCATAAAATGCAGATGAATTCTTACTTCTGGGAAAGAACAGCAATATATTGGCCAATACCAATTATTTAGATTTGCACCTTGGTTCTATACTTACATGAGCTTGAGCTTGTCACTTAAGCTTGCTGATTTTATCTTTTCTTGTCATACAACAAGGATGATCCCTACCTTATAGGTTTACTGTGAGGTTAAAATAAATAACGACACCCTTAATAAAGAGTAAATTCCAGACTTTTTATTGTCATTAACTTCCAAACATGTGAACAAGCCCATATACTCATGTAGTGCCTATAACAGATATTTTTAAAAATCCCTTACATTTTGTTAACTGTTGCCTTTCTCTTTAAGTAAAAGATGCCCTGACCTCAGAAGGATGTATCATCTAATTTCTAACTCAATAGTGATGATGAATTTTTAATGACCCATCCCCTCCCAGTTGTGCCATTACTATGGTGACTAATAACACACATTCCTGAGATGGCTATTGGGTCATCCAGCCATGTAAGATCCATGTGACATGATGATGGTATCTGGCCCATTAAGAACAACCAACTCTCATTTGCATGGCACTCTAACCCATTCATAGAATGTTCCTTTATTATTATTATTATTATTTGAGAGAGAGAGAGCATGAGCAGGGGGAGCAGCAGAGGGAGAGGGAGAAATAGACCCCGCCCTGAGTGGAGAGCCCGATGCAGGACTCGATCCCAGGACCCTGGAATCACCAGGACCTGAGCTGAAGGCAGACGCTTAACTGACTGAGCTACCCAGGTGCCCCTGTTCCTGACTATTTCAAAACATTGTGAACATACCCTTGTCAGATGTGGTTAGACCACCACTGTTTTACCTTGTCACGTGGCTGACCAAGATGACATACTAGACTGGCAGAAGGGTCACTTCTGTCATTTTCCTGATGTTCACTGTGTTCTGACATTATTAGTAATAGCTTCAATTCCTGTTTCTCTACAAGAATTTTTTAAGCCACTCGTCCATTCTGTGGGGGTTAAGCCACTTAGAACAATTCATTAATTTACAGGTATATAGTAAATGGCTTGAGATTATTTTCTCAATGTACCAACTGAAAACAAACCAGTGAAGGTGACAGTGCCCTCTCCCTCATGAGTGCCATACAGATCCAATGAAGGGTCCGTGGCCATCTATATAGGACTCAACCAAGCCTAATTCTCTTTTCAGTGGAAAAAAAATGAAGATATATAAAAATTCTCTGACTTTCTTCTCAGACCCAGTGGACCATGTTGAGGTATGCACACTTCCCCTCAGAGACCACCACTCTCAGCAGCAAAGTCCAGCCCTCTTTTTCAGGCTACTATAATAAATACATAGTTGTTGGTCATTCCTTTGGATCTTCTCAGTTCATATTTCTACTCTTGAGCCAGAAGTGCTTGCTGAGCACTTCCTGTTGGACAACCATCATTCCAGGTGCCCTGAGTACTGTAAAGAAATAGGAGTCCAGCACCTACATTCAGAGAACTTAGAGTCTCATTGGGGCACACAGAACTTCAGATTTCCGCTTGCTCGCATAATTGGGTTTTTTACTTGAAGAAATACATTTTAAGTATATGAAAGGAAGTACATTGTAAGTACTTTCTTGCACTCATTCAGCACATCCTGACCACCCAGATATGTGCTACTACCTCTAGGTGCCAGGGAGATGGAAGGTGAGAAAGATATAGTCCTTGATGTCCTGGAGCTTTGAGCTGAGCAGGGGAAACAAGGTAAGTGCATAAATAACGACTTGGTGGACCCTAGCACCCAAAAAGCCCATGCTGGACACTTCACTAGAAGGAGCACATACCTCAAACTGAGGGATAAGATTCAGCCTCATGAGAGGAACATGGATGGAGCTAGGCCTAAAGAATGGAAGGTTTAATGGGTGTGAGGCAAGAATATGAAGTCTGGACAAGCTAATTAGGAAAAGCTTATGCAGGGATGCCTCGGTGGCTCTGTCAGTTAAGCGTCTGCCTTCAGCTCAGGTCATGATCCCAGGGTCCTGGGAGAGAGTCCCACAT